TTTCATGGGGAATGGTTGTGTGCAACTATTCCCCATGGGGTTAAAGGGCAAAGGGATTTTTGCCATGTTGGATGAAATTTGAATTGTAAACAAGGAAAGTCCTTTGTCAAATTCATCCAACATGGCTGCGATTACACAGTTCAATTGAGAAGTGGTCATTGGAATTTCATCAGCATGGTCTGCAGCCTGTTGTGATTCACTACCATCTACATCATCATATGTTTCATTTTTCTGTCCACATAATGAAGTATAGTAGGACAGCGGCAATGAGCTGCCCAATGCAATAGCTGCCAACTTTCGCTGTTCATCTGGATCAGAAATTGGCACAAAGTTGACACAGGTGGCAATATTTGCAGCCCAAATGAGGTACTGGTGCTTGCAAGGCGCACCATCCTTCCCTCGGTAACAGCTACACATTCCAAGTGACATATCCACACTATATCTAAGGAATGTAGTAATATGACACTATATTAATCTTTGAGAGAATTTGTTTTCACCCTTTAGTAACCAGGGGGTCTGACCCATTGATGAGCAAAGTAGCCTGGTTTTTATAGCCAGAGTAAAATACTAATCTGCTACAGTCTGGGTACTGAAGAGTTAATTTACCCATTAAGGTACAAGAGTCCCCTTGACGAGTAAAATTGTCTGGTGTTACACAGTAAGATAACAAAGTAGGGCACACCAAGGTGCATTGTACCTTTATGGGTTAACTCTTAAGCAACCAGGCCTTATCGATGAGCATTAGACATTAGAGTAAAATACTAAAGTAGGGCGCATCAGGGCACCATGTGATTCAATGGGTTAAATCAATCAATATGTACACCTTGAACTTAACCATACCTCACATTTTCTTTTGAAAGACTTTCAACTTCAATTGGAAATTTGGAACACATCATTTGGAAATTTCTTTACGGTTTTTGCAAATCTCAATTGCTCATCTTCAGTGGGAAGAACAAAACCTTGGCCACCATCTTTCTTTGTCTTGCCCTTACCACTAAATCGCCTTCTGTAATGACCATCAAAACTACCATCTGCAATTGACAACAGTTTTTCCTTGTAGTGGTCCTCCAAATCCACCAGGAGTCGCTCAAGAAGGGCCACAATGTTATACCACAATATTCCTCAAAGGATAGAGAAGCATTTTCGTATGGCTCTATCTCATCAAGGAGTTCATTATAATGTTCCTCAAATAATTATTTGGTATCTGCCAAAACAGCCATTTTAAAAAGACTCATAATAGCTGGTCTGTCTGTTTGACTGATAGTGTGATTCTTATCAAAAAGCCACCGCCATACTTGCTGTAGAATGTGAAAGGTGCACAAAAGCATGTTTGTGGATGACCAAACTGACTTCAAAGCACTTCTTTCTTCCTGGCAGTTGTCAGTGAGAATGACAGCAGGACCATGCTCAGGACCATTACCATAAAATGCATCTTCTGATAGGCATTGCTTTAACATGGAAAAACCTTGAAAGAAAACATTTTAAGTGAGTATACAATAATTATGTACAATGATATAGTTTGTATCAGTACTTGATCAAGTAAAATACATGTATCATGTAGATATATCTACCAAATAAATGTGATACCTTGATCAAATAAATATGATTTCAAATTACAGTATACAGTAACACAACTTGCTAATATTTTTGCTCTTTTTATACACACCAGGGGTTGAGGAGTAATAGTTGCCAAAAAATGCAATGATGTTTATTTTCCTTACCTAAAATATCAAATTATTAAGGTACAGTCATTATTAATTCGGGGGGGGGAGGAATTATGTGGAGGGGCTATGAAAATTTTTTGGACTACTAAGGGGGGGGGGGGTGGCATAAAAAATTCTTCAAAATAGAAGAGGGGCTGGAAAAAATATATCATGTGTTGGAAAATATCCTCCACCCCCCCTGTCATTAATAATGACTGCTCCTTACTACAACAATAAAATTTTAAATATTGAGATTTGCAATGTTGTGTAATTACTTCATAGAACCTTGACAAAGTTTCATACAACTTTGCAAAAATTATATAAATTGTATTGATATTTGAATAAATAGGTGAAACAAACATTATAATTTTGCATTTTGTGACAAATATTACTGCCAAGCCTTTAGAAAACTTTGATAACTGTTAGGGACCGTTCATTATTTATACCCTAGGGTGGGGTGGAAAAATTGATGTAATAGACATAAATTCATTTCAAAGCGGAGCACGCAAGGGAAACAATGGTTCTAGCTCTTGACGTATGATAGAAATTGTATTTTCTTCATAGACCATAGAATTAAATCATTGATATATACAAGGACTAAAATCAAAAGGAAAAATCACATGTATGTATGTTGGGGGGAGGGTTATAAAATTTTCAGTGTTCTATAGGGGGTCATTCAATATTGAGATCATCAAAAGGGGGGACTTTTGGATATGATATAAGAATCTTGCACCCCACCCTAGGGTATAAATAATGAACGGTCCCTTATTGACACTAGTGATATAAACTTTGTGTTTTGCATACATTATCAAATAAATTTAATAATTATTAACCCATTACAGCACAATCCACCTGGTGTGCCCTACTTTGTGTGTTATTTTCCTCTGTCTAGTACCAGACGATTTGTGCCTTAATGGATTAATTAGGGCCGGAGAGAAAATGGCTGCCCATCTTTATAATGTACATGTTGTGTCTAAATTTTGTATTTAATTTTTGACCCATTGAGAGGCAAGGGCATATCTCAGTACCCCGCCTACTCTACTGAATAAAAGCTAATTCTGGCATTTAAGGCAGAGTAAAATGGGCAAAACAAACTAGGTCTGTATATATACATACCATGTTTCAATGTGCTTTCTTTCTCATCACTGGTTATCAGTAAGCCACATGGAAGTCCACCTGCAACATTAGCAGTGCAAAGAAGAAAAATCTTAAGATTGTGCTCCTCAGTGTTTGACGTTGAATCCACAAAGATGAGTTCTCCACTTTGTGGAACACACTTATGTATGCGTTTCATCAACGGCGTCACTATGGCTATGATCAATGGAGTGTTATCACCACCATACTGTTGGTATTCCACTGAGGCATCGGGGTTAGCTTCCTGGAACTCATCTAACTTGGCAGATAGTTTATCCAGCATTTCACCATTCTTTCCGCCAAATCTCTCCTTGCCATACTGCTGATAAATATAGCAAAAGTCCCTTCTCCTTGGTACCACTGAGCGATCTGCATTCTTCACATGATAGTCTAGGTTGTTCAAGCAGCTAGACTGGAATTTCTTCAGGAATATCTGGCGTGCAGTTGATGGGGTTTCACCAGCTTCATACAGCTTCTTAATTTCTTCGATGCTTGCTATAGACAATTCCTTAAAATTTGATGACTCCAAAGTACATAGTGAATGGTTGTGCTCCCATTCAATATCAATAACACAGTTATTTTGTGCATCTATCTTTACAGCCATTTGAAATGGGCAGTTGTTATTTTTCACTCTGGCACCTGGATTCAATTTTAGCTTCCTCTGGGGGTCCTTGCTTGGACTCCAGCGTCTGGTGTCGTGTTGGCATCTGTAGTAATGCTGGATGGAATAACCCTTCGTTTCTTTCTTCTTTGCTCTAACTTTGAGAGTTCCAACGAAAAATTATCTTTAGTTACCTTCAACTTAAACTGTGATTTAGTACCATAGCATTCATTGACTTTGTAAAGGTAATACGGCGTTGTTTTACTTTTCACTTTTTTCTTTTTTTTGAGTTTTCGTCTGTGATGATTTTCTTAAGTACATCAATGTCGGCCAGTTGGTTTGTTTCTGACTTAATAGGTTGTATGTCATCAGGTTCTGATGCAGACATTGATTCAGAGGGAGTCCAGGATTCATCACTTGAGTCACTGTCAGTTGCATCCATTGCTTCAAATGACTCGACTTGATTTTGCTCCTATACAAATACAATTTCATTAATTAATTACAGTCGGGATCAAACGTCTGAGTCCAGTCGATAATGTTTTGTATATTACGATAATTTACAATAAAGATTGAATATGTTAATTTGAACTTGCGTATTTTATGATAGTAATGCCTCTCATAGATTTCTTGTTAATTCTCATCGTATTTAATTTGAAAGAAATGCGTATTATTCTTTTTGTGGACAAAGATGGCAATGAGAGGGCCAACAATGATGGGATGTCTCAAAAAATTGCAGGAAATTGGGATGAGGTTATACACATGTGTAGAACGAAAAGTTGGAAACGTTTAGTGTATCAAGTTCATACTCAATTAGATGAAAATCTGCGAAACAATGCAAGGGCTTCTCAAGCAAAGGAAAATCAAGAAAGAAGGAAAGAGTGGATTGCCCCTAATCAATTGTGGAATAGAATGAACCATTAATTCTAACAAAACTGGTTTACCCTATCTAACAAACATCAAAGCTGTTTTGAAATAAAAAGAGGTCATACAAAATATTAGAACAGTGCCAATTTGTGTTATATCCTACTGGTTCAACTCTATTCCACCATTGATTAAGGTGGTTTTCCTTTTACTTTCTTTCTATTTTCCTTTACAGGCATAGCCTTTGGTTTCTTAGATTTTCATTTAATTAAAACGTTTCCAACTTTCCCTCGGCACGTTATATATAACCTCATCTCAATTTCTCTCATTTTTTGAGACACCCCATCATTGTTGGCCCTCTCTTCACTATGGTGGCCCAGGGCTGCCATATCATATTTTAAATTATTTTTTCAATATATTTTTTTACAAATATAAATAATAAATTTAAAATAGATTAAATTCACCTAAAAGAGAATTGAAATAAATTTCTCTTAAATTGAAAAATAATGCATGTGGCCCAGAACTGCCAATTGCCAGCGTGCGTTTATTAAAAAATGGCGGAATCGTGGAAAAACAATACGCAACTGGAGAACAATTTAAAAAAATATGTAGCCTCTAATATGCAACGCTCAGAAATTTTAGATTTTGTGAGGAAAGATTATAGAAACTATAGATGGAGCTTAAGAACGCTAGATTGAAGAATGAGGCATTTCAGCATAAATTATATTGATGGTAATGTACCTTTAGAAGTTACAAGGGAAGCAGTGCGAAAAGAGCTTGACGGGCCAGGTGCAATGCTTGGCTATAGAGCCATGACTCAAAAGATAAGACAAAAGTATGATTTGAAAGTCCCCAGAGCCCTAGTTCATAACTTGATGTTTGAACTTGATACCAAGGGCCTAGCAAGAAGGGCACCTGGTGCCAAGAAAAAAAAACCTAAAGGAGACTTCGTCACTCCGGGTCCAAATTGGACTTACTCTATGGATGGACATGATAAGATGATGGAATTCCAAAATTCGACATTCCCAATTGCAATATACGGATGTTTGGACACTGCCAGTAGAAAATTGATTTGGCTAAAAGTGTGGACCACAAATTCTAACCCGATATTTATTGGCAAGTGGTACTTGCAATCCTTGTTGGAAAGCAGTGTCCTGCCAAACTACATACGCATTGACAAAGGCACTGAGACAACAACTATGAGCACTATTCATGCATACCTCAGAAGTCAACAAGGAGATTTAGAAGAGCCAGCTGATTCAATTTTGTTTGGCCCTTCACCATCAAATCAGGTTTTCCATTTTCAACCAAATTACACACCATATTCTTTTACCATTTATGTGTACTTATTTTTTGTAAAGTTAAAAATATTACTAAAAATACACTTAGATTGAAAGATGGTGGAAGGAGTTGCATGATCGCCTGGAGAAGTACTTCAAAGTGGGTCTCAATTGGTTAAAGGAGGAGTGCCATTATGATCCACAAGATGAAATACAAAGGTAATCAATAGACTAGCAATCAGAAATAAAAGTAGTCTATTTTGTTTCAGTATTCACTTGTGATATTCTTATGTTAGATTGATGCTTGCATATGTTATGGTCCCACTGATGCAAAGAGAACTTGACGAATTCTGTGAAACTATCTGGAACACACAAAGAATCAGAGCACAAAGAGAAACATTGATGGCAGATGGAATTCCCAACCATATTTTTGAATTCCCAGAGAGATATGGGATGGAAAAGAAAGGCAAATGTCAAATTTAATTGATATACATATTTTTGAACAAAATTGCTATGTACAGGAGAATTAAGGGGGGGGGGGGTTAACAGGCTGACAACGGTAGGCTAACTACAAAGGGGACAAGCCTTCCCCACATTCTCCTTTAGAACTGCTGTCAAGGTATGCTTAACTCTGTTGAGAAATGAGGAGGCCCGGAGGACCGGAAGTGAATATAATTCCAATTCCAATTTCTAAAATCTCACTCCAAAATGATTGAAATGGAATTTCATTATTTTCAAGAACTCCTGAGAGTTTTTACACATTAGTGCTTAATTTGAAACCCCTTTCAAACGTTGGTTATACCACTGCTAACCTGCATGTATAATCATTCTAAAAATATCCCTTTTCTGTCCTAAAGGTTTCAAGGTTACTCATGAAGATTTACAAAAGGTTGCTGAACTATCTGGTGTCTTGGATGCCCCAAATGATTTTCTATCAGCAGAATTGGGTGCCTTGTTTACTTCTTTATTACCACAGCCAGAAAAATGCAAGTGTAATGAATTTGTTCAAACATATTTATTACTTAAACAAAGATACTCAGACACAAATAGTAATTAAAAATATGTAGTGTCTTGGGCTATTTAGCTAAATGTCAAAACTGTACAAATTAATTTGTAACATGTAAACTTGTTTTTCTTATTACTCATTGTTTGTTTATAAAAGAACTTAACTAAACATCTTTTAAGTATCAAAGTGAAATTTAAAATCAAATATCAAACAAAATGGTTAACATTTTACAAGATTGCAAATAGTTGTTTAGTTGTACATCCCTCTATATCATGCTACATGTTATTTGGGATCAACATCTATTGGCACAGGTGCAAGTCCAAGAAGGTTGCAAAATACATTACACTCATGAGCTGAGAAGAATTTCTTATAAGCTTCAGTTGATAAGTTTCCAGCACAAAAGAGCAGGTTACCATCATCATATATACTACCCATAGTGGCAATCTCTGGATCAGTTAAATTGTATTCACTTCCTTGTATATCAACCAGCAACAGTCTATTATTGGACTTTGCATATGAGAAATGGACAAGGCTTTCAGCCTTTTCTTGCTTCTGTTTGTCTTTGTTATGACACAGTGATCCATCATTATTCACATACTTTTGAAAGTTGCCAGAAATAAACTGTTCTATTGTTACAATTTCATCTGTTGATTGGACTTTTCCTAAATATGCTTCCACATATCTGAATGGCTTTCCATATGCTTCTTTATTTCCATTCTTTTCCACTGTTGATACAACTTGATCTGCAAAATTTTTTGCTAATGCTTGCATTTGAATAGCTTTGCAAGCATGGTCTTCCTGGCTCTTATTAACTGCTGTGATCAGTTCAGCTGTTTGAGGCAGGAATCGCTTGAAAATATAGATTTTACCTTCAAAATTAACTGACTTAGATGTTGCTTTGTAGGCAGCACGAAAACCTCCCCGGGCCAATTCTTCCTTTTCAACTGTAAACTGGGCAGATGCTGGTTGTGACCACATCATTTCATTTATGTCAAACCTTGATACCTCCACAGTTTCATGTAATATTTCTGTATCTGTGATTGCCTTACCAAGCTTCAACATTGTTGTGACACCAAGACTTTTTGGAATTTTAGAAGGGACATGAAAAGCACCTTCTAGATGACGTTTTACAGCAATAGCACTGGTTGATTTTGGCAGGACAATTGGGTCAGTTCGCTTTGAGCTTGGCACTCCAAATCGATCTGGGCTAGAGTTGACATTAAACATTGCAACCGAGCTAAGACCAACGTGACTACATTGGGGCTCATCATCTACCATTACAAATCTTATATGGATTAACATTAGGTTTGGTAACTGTGATATCTTCGTGCGTGAGGGGCCTCGTTCACTCGCCAGAATGTCACACGATGTACCCTTTGGTCTTTTTTTGAAATGTTTGTTACAAGCGGTAACGATGTTGGGAATGCTCACCTCTTCAAAAGGGAAGGGTACAAATTCTTGCGGTCCAGTGCGTTGTATTTTTTAGCCTTCCCAGTGGCTTTGGCTGCCAGCGGCTGTATAGTTATTTCTTTATTTTGTAAAATACTTGAACCAATAGTGTTCTTCCCAGGGTTATTGTTATTTGTTTTCTTTTGGTTGAAGCATTTGTTCGTTTAAATTTTATATCATTGGCAAACTTCTTCCATTTATTTATTTTGGACATGGCGTGATATAGCGACTTTATTATAATTCATTGGCAAAATGATATTTCGCGCTTAATTATTATACTATATACTTCATGATACTTCATTGAAGTATCGACAGATATTAATGCTACAATTTTTGGCAATTGGTAGTTCTGGGCAACGTGCATTATTTTTCAATTTAAGAGAAATTTATTTCAATTCTCTTTTAGGTGAATTTAATCTATTTTAAATTTATTATTTATATTTGTAAAAAAATATATTGAAAAAATAATTTAAAATATGATATGGCAGCCCTGGGCCACCATACTTCACCATCTTTGGTCCACAAAAATAATAATACGCATTTCTTATTCTACTTAAATAACATGAGAATTAATGAGATATGCATTGGAGGCATTACTATCAAAATACGCAAGTTCAGATCAACATATCCATCATCTCTAACTCACAAGATATCATTTATTTGTAAATTATCATAATGTAAGAAACATTATTGACTGGACTCAGATGATCTCCACTGTATTTATATAATAAATCTATATACTTTCATTTCATATAGCAATACTGACAACATGATACATTCAACCACATTGCACGATCGTCCCTTTAAATACTTGTTAATGATGTCATTTATGAGCAAATTACAACAAAAGGCAGCACAGTGTCAAGGGCTTGAATGCTAATTAGGATATTGCTTCACTACATCATGTAATTCATGGAGAAAACATGTACAGTAATTATTACTGTATGTCCCATGACAAAAGTTTTTAATTAGTTTTTCAGTTTAGTATACATCTACTGTACTACACTTGAAAGCAAACAAACAGCTACTTTAACACGGTATTGTGTGCTGTATGTAGTCCTTAATAGTGTATCTATCATCGAGTATATTAATTACAAGTAGTGGACTGCCAATACAGCATGAAGTAAATTCTCACCTCGGGTTTTTCGTCAATCATGTTTGATGAACACCCAGGTTGATTCGCCGAATCATCTGATGGAGTCAGTGAATGGAATCAGTGAAATGTGCCAATTTATACCAACCAATATTGTAATCCACTGCAGTATACTTACATACTGTATTTATGCAAATGCTTTGGACAAAATATAAATTGCCAACTTATATACTGAGTTCATAATCAGTAAGGGTCATGTATAACCGTACACTGTAACAACAGTACTTATTACAGTGTACGATTATCGCTCTCTTAAAATGCAAAATATCAGGCAAGGTATAATATGGTAAAAAATGATTAAACCTGTCTAGAAAGCATATTGTTCATCAAACATGTGTCAAGATGCATCATCTGTAAATGGCATTATATGCTAGTGTAAATAAAAACAAACAAGAACAATTACTGTACATACCTTCTCAATAAATTCTTTTAGGTTTATTAATGTTGCGATATGTGGCTTGTTTCTGATGTTTTTTTTGGAAATTTAAGATCAAATGTAAACGTGTATGACATTTTCGGCTCTAAAGAAGAGATAACACAAACAAGATATGTGAGTAGAAAAAACAAGAGAAAAAAATAGTCATGAACAAGTCATGGTTTGATTAATGAAAGTAATCACCAGACAAAGACTACATTCATAACCCATTACATTATTCTATAATACTGACTGTTTACCTACATGATTCTATATTATAGAATGTTTTCATACAAAAGAATCATCATCAATCATACAAGTAAACAGTCAATATTATAGAACCATATAATAAAAAAGTAGGACCTTAATTGGGTCAATATTATGCAAACAGTCAATATTATAGAATCATGTAAGTGAACAGTCAATATTATAGAATCATGTAAGCAAACAGTCAATATTATAGAATCATGTAAGCAAACAGTCAATATCATAGAATCATGTAAGCAAACAGTCAATATAATAGAATCATGTAAGCAAACAATCAATAGTATAGAATCATGTAAGCAAACAGTCAATACTATAGAATGTAAACAAACAATCAATATTATAGAACTAGAAATACATGCATGCAGCAACCCCTCCTATTTCAAACCAAGTACACAATTTCCTGAGTTAACCTGACCTAAACTTGTATTATGAAATGACACAAAATTCAAATCAGTCTTACTATATTTTACCGAGTATATTATAGCTAATGTTTGCATTATTCAATACAAAAATAATCATAAAGCTAGTGTAAACATTGCCCGTTCAAACATTGTCCGTACATTATACCATGCCAGCATTTAAGTAACGGTTTAAAATCGAATTTTCAAACGATTAAAACAGAACAAAATCTTCACAGACAAAGAAAAAATCTCAAATGTTATTTTATTCATTAATAAGTTGACGCCGGCGGCTAAAAGTTTTATACTTTATAAATATAGTGTGTATTTTTTATACCAAAATTGAAATTACACTCTCAAAAACACTTTTTGAAGTTAAAGCAAAAGTGTAATAGCCTTTCACAGGTTTATGCGTTTGCATAAAAAGCTGAAAATTTAACAAATAAACAGCATACAAAGCTGAAAAGTATACAGATACGGCTCATTCTTATTGTGAAACAAATACGAAATAAACAAAGTAAACACGTACCCTTTGTCTTTGAAAACATTTATAAGTTTGCAGATTATAAATTATTCCTCTTACATGGCTTTGTCTTGACTGTATCCAGGTTCATCTTTGCTAACTGTCATGCTTCATATATCTTGTTTCTTCTCATTTTACTTTCTTTGCACTTTGGATTCGCCTATGTTCTACCGGGTTCCGGGTGTAATTCCTAATCTCCGAGTGGAATTAGTACCCTCGCAGGCGCTCTGCGCCCGCTCAGGGATCATGTAAGCAAAAAGTCAATATTATAGAACCATGTAAGCAATTGCAAACAATCAATACTATAGAATTAGGTAAGCAAACAGTCAATATTATAGAATCATGTAAGCAAACAGTCAATAAATGATAGAACCATGTAAGCAAACAATCAGTATTATAAAATCATGAGTCAATATTATGAAATCATGCAAACAAACAGTCATTATTATAGAATTATGTAAGCAAACAGTCAATATTATAGAAACATGTGCCAATATTATGAAATCATGCAAACAAACGAACTTTACCTCAAGGTTCAGGTCCATTTTAAAGAGTTTAAAAAACAGTTTTAAAGTGGTATTACTGTGATACCACTTTAAAAATGTTTTTAAACCCTTTAAAATGGACCTGAACCTTGAAGTACAATAATTTTCCTAATTTTGCGTAGAGTGCGACCTGTTGGATGCACTCAACTTGAGTGAGGGTGTAGCCATAATAATAAAATGTTCAAGTGAAGCTAAAGATCGCGGAAACTAAAGCAGCTATTGGAGGACACTCAAGTCCTCCTACGTGCACAGCCAAACTGAATTCTTGTTTTTTTTGCTATTTTCTCATATTTTGGGTGGA